CGTTCTGAACCGTTTTTGGTTCATCCTGGCCATCCTTGTGTTTTCCCCCCTCGCGTTCAGCCTAGGGGGAGCACCGGAGCAGAAACGGTTGACTTGGAGAAAACTTTCGGTTTGTCGTAATTCTTAGAAGAATGCGCCTTCAAAACTATGCATCTCTGCATTCCCATGATAATTCCATGGTTTTACTATTCAGCATTTTCAGAATCTAGAGAACCATACAAGCCCTAAAATAGGCAATTATTTGTTCCAAACATGGTACCAAACCAATTTTCCTTATAGAAGTCAAATATTCTAGAACTCCTGCATTTTTCGTTGTATCGAGGACCGGGAAGGAAGCACCTTATCGTGGCAACAATTTTTACTTCGATCTTTTTGTAATCTCGTTCCTTTTTCCTCTACATACACAGAAAAGGCTGGAATTTTACACACAAACAAGTTATATTATTATTTTTGAAAAAGATAAGCATTCCAAACCAGAAGCATGCTTGCCGATCCATGCATGCGCGGCTGGCTGACTGACTGCCTGTCAGAAAAGAAGGGAAGGAAACGCATACAGTAGCATGATCAGAGAAAAGTGAGCACGGGCGATCAGAAAACGCGGCGATAGACCTTGCTTAGCCTGTCGCAGGGCTAGCGCCACTAGCCAGTAGCATAGGTCTTGGATGCACTCTGAGCAGACAGCAGCTGCGGGCGATAAGAATGTTAGCCAATCTACGTAGCCTTCAAAATCAAACGGGTCGCTGCTCAGCTCAGCCTAGCTACTGGCTACTCTACTCTAGCTAGTCTCCCACAAAAGCTGCCCGAATCAATGCAAGTGTTTTCAGTGGGATTGCCTCCCCTGACCCTACCCTCTCCTCCCTCCCTCTTCCCCATGCATGGGGGCTAAAGGTTAACTGCATGCAAAGCGTAGTAGTACCACTAATTATGGAGTATTAATTAGTCTACACAAGGTTATCTTTACGGTGTTTACGAGGAGGCACGGGCGCTCGCTCTCCGTTGATTTCTCCCAGGCCAGTGCATGCTGCTCGCTAGGGTTTCAATGGCCCATGCATGCATGCACCCTTACCAGGAGTATTATTATTCTACTTTTACCAGCGTCGTGGTGCAGCCCTGGCATCCGCTAGCTAAACTCTGGTTTGCATCTCAAACTACCTAAACCAAGTTGTCACTATTCAAAAACAATGTACTTGGAGTCTTGGAGTGGCAGAAACACCAAACATATGCATCCATTCCTGGACCCAACACAAGTTTGCATGTCAATGGGAGAGAAAATGTATACAATTCATAATTTTTTACGTGAACTTTTTGTATAGTTTTAACCAGGGTATAATTATTACAAATACTAGTACTTGAAATTGTTGTCATATTTATTATTTTCCTTGCATTTTAACTTCCCAAGGCAAGCCACATCCTTGCCCGGATGCATCTCTTGATCGCCGAGATCCCCGAGCGTATTTGCCACTGAGTACTTCCTCCACTTCACCTTTTTTTTTACATTTGGGGTCCTAAGTCAGATTTTTCAAATTTTAGCCACCAATATTGCTCAACATGTTTGTATGAAACTTGAAAATTCGTATGCACAGATAACTCTCAGGGAGTAGTTTTAGAATATTATGATTTTGTTGGTGACTGTACACAGATGCAACATAAACTAGCACTCAAAATTACATTTTAAACAAGACGTCTAAAATGTCATTCTGAGTATACATGGATTGATAAACCATTTTCCTTTATGATATTTATATCATTGAGATTAAATGGATGAATTTTGTTTCTTCAGAAAGGGAATGCTAGTCCATATTACAAGAATATAGCTAGATGCCTAAATTATAAAACTTAACACATGTTATTAAACATTTTCACTACTTTTAAATAAAAAAGGATCCAGATCTAAAATACGTAAGCCATCTTATTCAAAACCAAATATCCGTGATTCTCCTTTAAAAAATTAATTAGTAGCATGCGCACTAGTGTAAATGTACAAAATATCATTTTGACTAACAAAAAATAACTTGGGTCGTGTTATAACTCAGAGCTAGTTTCGATGATGTATTTTCCCGTGCAATAGAGAGTACTCCCTCCGTCTAGGTGTGTAAGTCATCTTACGAAAACCAAATAATCCCAAAACACTTAGGCGCGGTGCATTAACTTCTACCTCATTTCTTGTTTCTTCACATATCAACCAATAAGAGACGAGGAGTGTGCATGCTTTTAATGACTTGAGACTACCAAACACGACATGCAGTGGTTAGTTCATTGCATGCAATGCTATTAATTAACAAATAAACATTAAGGTCTTTCATTTTCCCCTCCTCCTTGGTCACGGTGCACAACCTAAGATGACTTGAGGGAGTAGTTTTTCCACGACTAGTTGGAGCTTAACTATCATGTTCATCGATCGTGCATCCAAGGGCTGATGAAGTTTGTTTGCACTTACACCCTACAGGTTCATGAAATTCATGTGGTGTTTTAAATGGGAAGAATATGTGTGTGAAATCTTTCTTTGATCATTTATGATATGTTTGGGAAGAATATGTACAAAATGTTTATTTGATTATTATTGGAGGAAGAATTATGCATGGAATTATTGGTTCCTTGTTAGTCAACCACCCAAAGTCACATCTGGTTTGTAAATTTTCATATGCATAGAAGTTTGAGGGTTATTGATGAATGTGAGGCATTTATGGGGAAAAATATGCATTGGAGGGATGTTTGTAAAATATTGGCAGATCCTTGATGAAATCAATGGCCTAGAGAGTTCTTCTACGTACAACTAGTTGCGGGCTTGAGTTTATAGGTACGTCGACAAAGTCACACAATTCTAAGAGCTTAAGCTCCGTCTCATTGCTTTCGTATGTGTGATATCGCAAGTGCACCAACAAACCACTACAATGACATGTTGAGAACACCCCCACCTTCTGACAATATATATGCTTAAGGACCACATGTATGGAGAAGGGAGAAGTCCCTAAATGAAGAAGCTACATGTTTTGACAAATGATTGATGTACGTAGCCACTACAATGTAAAAACCGAATGACATGGGTTGGAAAACGGGAGCAAATTTTGTGTAAGTTGTCTGAAATAACCAGATGAACATGTGTAAGTTCTTAATCATTCCCAAAAAAAAGACGGGATACATATTGGTGGATATAGTATGAACATAAAAATTTGATCAAACAATATATGATTGTGTTATGTAAGAAAAAAAAGGGAAGGAAGAGTGCCATAAGCACTGAATTTGTTCTACGAACACATTATTGGACGAAACTTTGCAGGTTCAAAATTCATAGATGCACCCATGGATTATTTTAGAATTTGAATTTTTTGAAATGAGGGGACTGAAGGAGGAGCATACACACGTATGCAATACTCTACTGCTTAAGCACCTTCACAACCAACATTGGAATGTGATGTGACCTGGTATTACAATTTAAGAGGATTAGACATGCAAATTTATATTCTTCTGCACATGACCTGACACCTAGCTGACATATATGGTTCATCATACTGAAGTGGACTCTCTGCTTGGCCCCTATATGGTTATGCACATCAATATAATGAGTGAAAACAACAAAAATCTCAAGGAATTCATGCATAATTCCATAAGGCAAAGTTGTTTCTCCTAGATATAGCTTGCACATAAGATCAAATAACATATAGTCTGGCAACTTGTCACGGCGTGACCAAAGGGTAGGCACGTAGAGTTAGTCGTTGACGCTTTCATTGCTCCATATGCCATCTACTAGCGTTGACACTAAACACATAGCAATGGGTTGTCTCTTAAGCTGTTTTCCCATGAGGTGTGAGACACTAGCACACAAGAGATATTGATGTTGATCACTCTAGGGTTTTCGGGATTTTGGCTTTGATGCGTCATATTTGTTCCTTCTCCTCATCCACATCAAGTATGATCATATGTGACAGAGTGAAGAACAAATTTATGTCCTGTCCCATGTTCATATACATACCCTATATATAGTCAGGGTGACTGGCTCTAAGAGAAAAAAGATCATGTACAATAAGAAGATTGTCACTAGATCATACTATATGTGTATGTTGGGCACAAGAGATGGATCGATCAACCGATGAAGCAAGCAATTAGCATAATGGCGATCACGTGGGGGTGGTATCCCTCTGGTACCGTGGGAGACTAACCCGATCATCCAAGAGGCACACGTGTGCGTGTCCAGACTTGAGTAGAAGAAGAGCATGCATGCACATGCCAATGGCCTCGCACATGCACTTTATCGTTCCAAGAGAAGATTGGGCGGTCGAGGTCGACGACGGTGGACTGTGATCAGTGTGTGCACGTGAGAAGCCCAACTTGATCGTCGCTCACAGTTAACAAGACCCTCCATTTTCTTCCTAAATCATATCATATCATTATCATCAGGCGTACCTCCATGTCTAATTAGTCTGCAATGAATGTCCTCGCTAGCTAGCTACGCTGATTGTATATACATCTGTATTTTTCACAGAAAGAAGATTATACATGTGTACGAGTACGTATATATACTGCATTTCTGAGAGAATCTCGAGGAGTACGTCTCCACCTTATGATAGCATATTCACACTACTGATCGAGTAGTACTGTACCAGTAATTAACTAACCACGCGGTTAATCAGTAAAAGATGATGAGGTTCCAGTCTGAACGCTGAGCAGAATAGGCAATTAAAGAGACACGCGCGTACATACCTCTCGCACGCTTGCTTGCTTCCAGTTTGAATACGATCCAGCTTTGACGGTCAAAGTTTTAGGCGGGGGCAAGGGGTGCAATTACCAAGGTGAAAACACACACACCCGGCCTATCTTAACCTCCGCTTCTCCTTCTCTCCATAAAGAGAGAGAAGAAGAAGAAAGCAACACAGGCATTGTTAATCCCTCCCTCTCTCTCTCTCTAGTACTGGCGCTTGCTTCTCTCTCTAGTCTTGTTAGCGGGAGAGAGGGAGAGAGATTAGCTGGGTAGGTCTTGTTAGTAGTACTGGTAACAAGTTGTCATGGGGGATCCTATGCGAGGTTTAGGGTTCCGCTCGCGCGTTTCTCTATGCGTTTCTGGAGAGGATCGACGCCAAGGTTTTTCTATGGCCGGAAGACGGGGGTCCGTGTCCTCTTCTAGGGTGCAGGTAGCACATTATCTCCTCTCCTCTTCCTCCCCACTCCCCGCTCACCCATCACTCTACCGGTATGAGACAAGTGATGATTTTCTTTCCCCCTTTTCCAGCCTCTCTTTGTTCTGCTACTAGCTATATATATGTAGCTAGCTTATGCTTTCCACTGAGGCGAAATGAATCCATGGCTAGCACCGCAAGCAAAATTATATTTTGCAATGCTATATTCCTACTATCAAATAATAACAACAGTAATTTGTTTACTATTTAAGTTGTTATGTGCGAATCACAGAGTTTAATCTCATCATGAGTATTGTCACTTGCAAATTTGCAGTGCCATTAGTATTATTTTTCATGAGAGTTTATCGGCAATTTTCGTCTTAAGTTGTTGAAATATTGTATAGTAGCTGTTGTAGGGGAGAGTACTAGTACATCCAAATGTGGGGCGCCTGTCACTGTGCGTGCATGCCACCCTTTGTGCCATTGTGTGTGTGGGTGTGTGTCAGGAGGAGGGAGGCAGAGCCTAGGGCTTTGAAAGAAATAAACCTTGTCAGGGATTCGGCTTCTGCAGCGGCGAGTGGTTTTAGGGTTTGAGAGACGAAGCCGGCCAAGACTTAATCGTCCATACGTGGATTCATCACTGTTGAACAGTGTTTTGGCACATAGTTAGCAATTAATTAACAATGTTACCGGTGCTAGTTATATATACACGCACATATGCATATGTCAACTGCCGAACTGCGTGCATATATATCCAGGGCACCCAACCGTGCGCCTGCATGTGCACCTCCGCAATTGAAAAAGAGAGGAGATACTATGTACGCAAAGAACATCTGCTCGCGATCGAATTGAGATCCTAGACAAATAGAATGAAGCTAGATCTTGCAACATTTCTTAATTTTTCCAAGGGAGTGTTAGTTTTCTAATCACCTGTGAATACCAGCTTTCCAGTCAAAAAAGGGCATGACAACTCATACTGTTATCGAGTAAAGGGCGCCGCTTTAGTACTACATGTACATGCAGGCAACAGGGTGCACTCATGTAAGCATATCTTGACATGGTTTTTGGGGAAAATGAGACAAAATATGGTGGACTCGATCTCCCCCCAGAAAGCACAAGCAAAAAGATGTCCCTGCTCAGTTAAACCATGCCACTGTTTTTTGTATTGCACAAAGATACAAAAATATAGTACCCTTTTTTATGTGTGGAAAAAGCTTCCTACTACTACTACTAGCACAGTTCCTGTAGAATTAATATCATACATGCATAACCATCCACAGTAGTCTCACACTCTGACATAGTAGGAGTGTTAATGGCGTTAAGGATTAGTGTACTATAATAATTTGTATAAATATCTGCCCCAGTAGTACTTGTCTACTACTACCAGTAGCACAGTTCCTCAAGTCTCCAAACTCCAAATCTCTCTTGGGTCTTGGCCTCTCCAGCTTCTCCTAACCTTGGGCTCCCAGCAACAATGGCTTCTTGATCTGCTGCCCTCCCTTTCCCGGCCTATCCAGCAGCAAGCTTAAGTAGAGACCAGTTAATCACTTCCACGTACTGTGTTGCTTTTAGGTAGCTTCGAGCATGGCCACCGTGAACAACTGGTTGGGCTTCTCCCTCTCCCCGCAGGAGCTCCCTCCCTCCGCCGCCGCCTCAGGTGACGTCTCCGGCGCCGACGTCTGCTACAACATCCCGCAAGGTAGATACATACACATCGTAGTATTCTTCTGATTGGTTTAAGTGCATCAAGCAGTTGTATGAAAATCTTGTGATTGGTTTGTTTCGCAGATTGGAACATGAGGGGATCGGAGCTATCAGCGCTGGTGGCGGAGCCGAAGCTGGAGGACTTCCTTGGCGGCATATCTTATTCCGACCATCACCACCACCAGCACAAGCAGCCTGGCGGCAACAACATGGTCGTCCCTGCAGGCAGCGCCAGTGGCGGTGCCGCTTGCTACGCGAACTCTGGCGGCAGTAGCGTGGGCTACCTGTACCACCCCAGCTCGGCCTCCCTCCAGTTTGCCGACTCCGTCATGGTGGCTTCCTCCGGCGGTGGCGTCCACCACGACGGCGCTGGCATCATGGCGAACACCACAGCCAACGGTGACCTTAATGGCGGCGGCGGGGGTGGCATCGGGCTGTCCATGATCAAGAGCTGGCTGCGGAGCCAGCCATCCCCGGCACAAGCACAACCACCGGAGCAACAGAGGGCAGAGGCGGCGGCGCAGGGGCTCTCGCTGTCCATGAACATGGCGGCGTGCATACCGCCGCTTGTTGGCGGGGAGCGTGGCGTGCCGGAGTTGGCGATTGTACGGAAGGATGACACGGCTGGTGGCAGCAGTGCTGGTTCTGGCGCCGTAGTGTCGGCCGGTGCGGACAGCACTGGCGGAAGCAGTGGCGCGGTGGTCGAGACTCCAGCGTCGAGGAAGACAGCCGACACGTTTGGGCAGCGGACTTCGATTTATCGTGGCGTGACCAGGTATATAGTAGTAGTGTAGTACTAGTGCATTGCAAATTTGCAATAAACATGAAAGTATCTGAACATACTCTCTATTTTTCAAAATGGAATATTTGATTGCGTTTTGTGTCATTATACTGAGCATCCAGCTAATGCATAGTTTCAGGCATTTTTGTTTTCTCGCTAATCATCAACTTGGACACTGATATTGCTAATTAAGCATGGATCAATCTAGTTTCTTTCCTTTTTTTCTGTTTTTCCGATGACGCTAGTATCACTTTTTGTATTTTTCTCTTATTTTCTTCCTTGAATCAAGTGAGTGTTATTTGCTTTTGAGGCTCTTCTTGAATAATGTAGATGCATAGGAAATGTGGAATGCCATTATGTGGGCATGATTGTGGTAGGCTTACAACGTGTGATTCTTTTTTGCGATTGGCTTTAATAGGCATAGATGGACCGGGAGATATGAGGCTCACTTGTGGGACAACAGTTGCAGAAGAGAAGGGCAAACTCGCAAGGGTCGTCAAGGTACTGATGTGTTATCTTTAAATCTGCTTACATACATATATATGATCAATTCCCTCCAATGTTGCTAACTAAAGTTACTCTTTGATTGATTATTCAACTTTGTTTGAACTTGGCCTTTTCGACTCCACACAGTCTATCTAGGTAAGCAAGATCCAGATTAAAGTAATTACATTTGTTTTTGTCACATTTTGTTGATGCATTCATTGCTATCAATTCTTTAAACTACATTTTTTGTACATGTTCTAATATTGAAATACATATATAGGTGGCTATGACAAAGAGGAGAAAGCTGCAAGAGCTTATGATTTGGCTGCTCTCAAGTATTGGGGTGCCACGACGACGACAAATTTCCCAGTAAGCATTACGCTAGCTGCTATTGTTGTCATGCTTGTGGAAGAAGTCATTTTTCTTTATTGCTGCCAATGTAAACTATTATAAGATTTTTAGATCTTTGAAATCACTAAAGTAGTGATTTAAAAGATCTTATATTAGTTCACAGAGGGAGTACCATTTTATTATTCGTTGATCAATGTAATGGTGAACCACATAGCCACATCTCTCTAATTATTATCTTTTGGGAAGCCTAGCTTACTGAAGTTGTACTTAAAGTCATGCATATTTTCTCCATTTTTTCTAGGTAAACAACTATGAAAAAGAGCTAGACGAGATGAAGCACATGACAAGGCAGGAGTTTGTGGCATCTCTGCGAAGGTCGGTGTCTTATCTTTTATATATAAACGTAAGTACGTGGTTAGCAAATCAACTAATGCTAATTTTATTTGATGTGTGTATGTGCAGAAAGAGCAGTGGTTTCTCCAGAGGTGCATCCATTTATCGTGGAGTAACTAGGTATGCACGCGTTTCCTTTTCTTGGTTGCGTGCATCATATGGTGCAGAGATCGGCAAGATAGACCTAACATTAGCTACATAAAATCTGATTATTGATGCTGATCCATTTGAATTTTGTATAATAAAGGCACCACCAACATGGGAGATGGCAAGCGAGGATAGGGAGAGTTGCAGGGAACAAGGACCTCTACTTGGGCACCTTCAGTAAGTATAGATACTCACTATCAATTACACTGAATACGTTTGGTTACACTGAAATTACCACCTCAACTATCAGAGACATTAGAGCATATATGTTTGTACTATGCTTCTTAAAAAAGACAGCCGGGTACATTTATTAATAATCCTCCATTGCGAACTACTCCCTCCGTTCCTAAATATTTGTCTTTCTAGAGATTTCAACAAGTGACTACATACAAAGCAAAATGAGTTAATCTACATTCTAAAATATGTCTACATACATTCATATGTTGTAGTCCATTTGAAATGTCCAGAAAGACAAATATTTAGGAACGGAGGGAGTAGTTATAATCTCGTTGATTTTCCATATTCAAATCTATGTTCAGCTGACGTGTGGGTCCAAGGCCAACCCATACATGCCATGCGAGAAATGGAGTGACAAACCATAAATGCCTATGAATGGCGCGACAAAATCGTAGATTTCATGTTGAAAATGGACATGCAAGTCATGCCAAGTTGCATCGAGCATATTACTATTGTACTTTGTGCATGAGTGCACATGCTTTATTAAACGTAGCTTCCATGTTTAGTGCTGCCGCTGTCTCCAATCACCGGCGCATCTAGTCAAAATATTCGAGCTGCGTCTGCATGCATGCATGCATTTGCAGTAAACTAATGATCAATTAAAATAATTAAGCTTACCCTAAAAAAATTAAAATAATTAAGCTAGCTTGTCACACCTTGCATGCATGCATGGCGTCTACTGGTAGATTGCGTTGTTGGTCCCTAACCATGGGCATCGCCTGTGTAATGTAGGCACGCAGGAGGAGGCTGCCGAGGCGTACGACATCGCGGCGATCAAGTTCAGGGGCCTTAACGCTGTCACCAACTTCGATATGACGCGCTACGACGTCAAGAGCATCCTCGACAGCACCGCGCTCCCCATCGGCAGCGCCGCCAAGCGCCTCAAGGACAAAGAGGCAGCCACGGCGTCGTCCCTCGCGCTGCAGCAGCAGCAGCACGCAGGCGTGGTGAGCGGCTACGACATGGGCGCCCTGGCCGCCTACGGTGCGGCGTACCACCACCATCACCCCTCCGTCGCCGGCGCTGTTGCGTGGCCGACCATCGCGTTCCAGACGCCGCCTCAACAGGTTTCCGGCGGCGGTGGTGGACACATGTACCACCCCTACGCCCATGCGCAGCCGCTGCGCGGGTGGTGCAAGCAGGAGCCGGACCACGCGGTGATCGCGGCCGCGCACAGCCTGCAGGAGCTCCACCACCTCAACCTCGGCGCCGGTGGCGGCGCACACGACTTCTTCTCGCAGCATGCCCAGGCGATGCAGCAGCAGCATGGCGGCCTTGGCAGCATCGACAACGGGGCCGGCGCCTCGCTGGAGCACAGCACTGGCTCCAACTCCGTAGTGTACAACAACGGCGCGGTCGAGAGCTATATGCTGCCAATGAGCACCACCACCACTGCGGCGGTGAGCCACGCCCACGAGCAGGCGGCAGCGCATGCCCACGCACGGGCGGTGGCGGCACAGGCGTATAGCGGCGGCAACATGAGCAGGGATCACGACGACGGGAAGATCGCCTACGAGAACTACCTCGTCAGCACCGCAGAAGCCTACGGTGGGGGGAGGATGGCTGCGTGGGCGCCGGCCTCAGCTCCGCCGGCGACAAGCAGCAGCGACATGACCGGCACGCAGCTCTTCAGCGTCTGGAACGACACTAATTAGGTCAGCTAGAGAGAAACACTAACATCACAAAGCACTTAGGGTGTTCATGCATGAGATGGCCATTAAGGTGTTACTGTCGTGTTCAATTATTGTTACTCGGTAGCTAGCTAGTTGGGATGGTGTTCTTCTGGAGGAAGGTAATGGCCTGTGAGAGGGCTATGCATTGCACTGCATTGTTCTTGGATCAGTTGAGCTGTTATCATTTTGGGGTTAAGTTCAGAAGAACATGTATGGGGGCATTGACTAGGGAATTAGATGGTTTAGAAATCAATGGAGCTAAAACTAGCCTGCTTGTAAATTTTGAATTGCTAGGGTAGATGGCACTGCATTGAGGGCGATCAATGCGCAAATGAGTTCTTTTTTTAACAAAATTCTTAACTTTACTTCTGTTTCCTTTAGTGTTTTCTTTGGTTCCAATGTGGTGAGAAAAGTATTATTTGGCCAAAAGAATTTGAGTAGCGAACAGAACATGTCATGGACACAATCTATGGGGCTGGGCTGGGTTGGATTGGGCCGAGTTGTTTGATACTGAAGTCAAGTAAGCTCGTAAATGCAAATAACTCTCTGAACTGGCTGCCACCAAAGCTCCATTTGAGGCAAACAAGAACATACATATATCCAGTTAAAAAAAGAACATAGAAACATAAATCCATTCTTATTCTCTTATTAATCAAAATATAAGGCTCCAACTCTAAAACGTCGGTCTGGCAGATGATTGCAAGAGAACAAAGTAGCAGGAAAAACAAGATCGAAGCATGTTGAATTGTTAGTTAAACCTGCTCAATTCATTCGTGGAGCAGAGGAGACGAGACATGGATGCAAAAGCTTTCCTTTGACCAAGGGCACACATACACCTTTTGCTTTCTTTGCCCTGGGTTTGGTTTGTTGAGCTGCCACATTGTGGTCAGCTGCCTAGTATATTTGAGCAGTTGAAGCTACACATGCCACTCACTCTCCTCGGCTCACCTGATAAGATAATGGGCCAGTTCATTTTAATCTTTTTTTCCCCGCCTCTTGTTAGATTCTACCACCAGCAGCTGCAAAAAAAATGGTGAACCCATTTTTCCTGCACTATTTTATTATTTTATTAATTAAAGCAAGGGTGAATCTGCAGCTAAGAATAAATATCGACAGCCGGAGTCTAAAAAATGGCTGGGGTAGCCATCAACGGACTGGAAATGTTACCTTGCATCAGCATCAGGTCATCCCTATGAGGAACGAAGGGCAAACATGCCAAAGATGCCGCACTGTAGATGTTTACCAGAATGGATTCGGTTTAGCAGCACCACTGTGAATACTCCATGGAGTGGAAACTTATGTGCCCAGCGCAATTGACATCAAACCAAACCTTGTTACCGCCACGGTTTTGTCGTTGAAGTCGATGATGAGGGCCAGACCTATTTCATTTGGTACCGTAGCCTGACAAATCATGTGTTTCTTCCAATTCCAAGTGGACACACCTGGAACTTTGTCAGTTTTGGTAAATAAGGCTTTAACCTTCACCACCTCCCCCCGCAAAAAAATATAGAAATTCACCACCTTGATCTACCCTGGTCAGAGCTTATAAATGATACACCTTCAAAGACACTGGTTTATGCTAAAAGAAACGTAAGAAAATTTCTAAAAGAAACGTAAGAAAATTTGCATCACAAACTTCCAGTTTATGCTATCGAGTACTATGAAACATGAACTTTTCTAAGATAAATAGAAAAAAAGATACCAAACTGCTCTGCTCTTTTACATTCAGGTGAGACGAATTCAGTATGCAGGATAAACTGCAAAAGATATGTACAAAGACCCTTGAGGATTTACAAGCAACTGAATAAATATGTGCATCACGCCGGTGAAATTTTTCATGGATAACATAATTGTGTATCTGCGGTTACTTCAAAATCTACAATAGTAATTCTCTGAAATAACATACAGGCAGATTTATATACACCATGCAGTACTCCAACCACAAAAGGTTATCATAAATCATAACTAATTCCACATTTCTCCCCTGAAATCAAGTGGTTGACAAAGTACATGCTCTAATTTTTTTTAGGGAAGTACAGGCTCTAATCACTCAAATGACCATTCTACCTTACCAGCTCCACCTGCTTCCCCAGAGACCCTGCCAAGTGCCACCTTGAACATTATAAATACTCATCCATACCAAAGCCAAAATCATTCACATTCCCCCATCTCCTCCTCTCACTCGAGAAAGCACTGTCCAGCCATGAAAGTAAGCGTTGGACACCAGCCAAAGGGTCAGCTATGCCTGGTCTTAGCCGTGCTGGTTACCATGGCAATGCTCGGTGAGGCAGCGAGAAGCTTGCCACCACCTTCTCTTTCAGCATCGCCAACGTATGCTCCTATCATTAAGGTGATAGGCAAAGCATACTGCTATAGATGCTTCAACGAGGCACACCCAGAAGAATCCCATGGGAAGGAGCACCTGGAAGGTAACATTTCAGTTATTTGCAGTTCTCGTTATTTACGCACGTTAATGCAGTCAGCTTGGAAATACGTCAAGTTTCTTCTTGTTCATAGTTATCTTGCTTGAACACTGCCTGTTGACAAGAAAAGTGTATTCAAGCATACCATACTGAAGATCCAAGAACATGGCTAGAGGAAAAGTTTAAGCTTGGTTATCATTATTATCTGCTGTAGTTACAAAAAGAAAATCTGCCAAAGTCTGCACAAGAAGGATCTGCACATTTCCTTTGGTACAGGGCATTTTTAGTGTTTTAGAAGCCTATACGTGCTTACTTAAATAAAAAACACCAAGTTAAAGTTTGCTACCAGGTAGGCCAAAGTACAGTAGACTAAGGATATACATATATGGATATGCGACTAATACCAAGACGAACTGTGAACCCAAAGTGTAGCTAAATTCATCGAAGCGAAAAAGTACTTAAAATGGATGATGTTTTACAAATTGTTCATTCTTCCTGAATATCTTTCAGCATTTCATACTGCAACTTAATACCTTTTTATCATTATCTGGTGCAGGAGCCATGGTCAAGGTCACTTGCCAGGCCAATGACCAGGCAATAGTGGGATTTGGCTACACCGAAAGCAATGGCAAATACAGTGTGGCCATTACTGGTTTGCCACTTAGCGGCACCTTTGGGGCTGACTCATGCAAGGTTGAGCTCCATGCAGCAGCAGGAGGATCTGACTGCAATGTGCCCATGGAGTTAAATCTCTCTGGAGTTAGCGTTTACTCAAAGTCCAATGAAGAAGTGGTTCTCCAAGCCAACCAAGTAATGGCATTTGGATCAAAGAAAACATTTGCTGGATGTTCAAAACCTCACATTCTACCATCAATGTATCCATCTAATTCACAGCCACTCCCATACCAGCATCCCTCACCTCCATCCAACTACAAATCCCCACCATTACCGCACCAGCATTCGCCACCTCCTTCTAACAAGTTTCCACCTCCATCATATCAGTATCCATCACCTCCACAGAACTTCTACTCTTCGCCGCCACCATACCAACAGTCCACACCTTCAAACAACTACCAAGCTCCACCAACATCTAACAATCCAACACCAACCCACAAGTATTTACCACCCCCATACTACTACAACTCCCCACCTCCGAACAGCCACGTAGCTCCACCACTGCCATACCTGCAGTCCCCGCCCCCATACAACTACAAGTCACCTATTCTACCATTGTCACCAACGCCTCCTCAACATTATAACTCTCCACCTCCATTTAACTATGGATCTTCACCCCCACCTTACCAATATTCTCCACTGCTGCCTCCAAAACATCTACAACCAAATGTTCCTCATGCTAATCCGCTACCAGCATCAATATCTCCACGGTCTCTATACCCCTATGGCTCTCCACCACCAGCATCAATATCCCCACAGCCTCTTTACCCCTACAGCTCTCCACCATCATATCTGAACTCGTACCAATCCCCACCACCACCGATTCAGCTTCCTCATGTAAAATCGCCACCAGTTTCTTCAACATCTCCACAGCCTCTGCACCACTACAGCTCTCCACCACCATCGCTTCCAAACTCGTACCAATCCCCACCACCACCGATTCAGCTTCCTCATGTAAAATCGCCACCAGTTTCTTCAACACCTCCACAGCCTCTGCACCACTACAGCTCACCACCACCATCGCTTCTGAACTCCTACCAATCCCCGCCACCACCGAGTCACCTGTCATAAGCAACAGGAAGGACTTCTTGAAATGTAAGTTTCCTAGTGGGATTTTATATGGTAACAGTATAGTACCATTCAAACTTTTACAAAATGTATATAGTCTCTTTGAATTTGAATAGCCGTAATGTGAAGTATTAAACTTTCAAGAGAGCTCATATAGACTCAACATAAAAGATAGCATTGGTTAGATGACTGCCAAGTAAGTAGATTCACAAAGTATATGACTCAATCCATCTCTTTTCAGGATCAGACGTGGGCAGAATAAACAGAAGAGTTGAAGACTATCTCGAGAGGAAGAAGCGCCGCAGCTGGAGTTTTCAACTGTGGATCTCAGTCTCTAGTATTTATTTACCCAAGTATCTACTGCTGCTTCAGCTTTCCCTTTGTTTCCTAGAGCTATTCCAGCAATGTAACCATAAGTCGTATGAGCTATTGTTAGTGTACCACTGTTCTGTACTCAATCCAATATATGGCAGGGGGGGTTCCTTACAGCCCTAAAATACTTTCTACTGTGCATTTCTTTCTTGAGAAACTGGAACAAAATAGAGAGATGCTGTGGCTTGACTGGCAGATCCACTTATTCCAGATTTGTTCCGCCGTTTATGCTGTGGC